GAGTTGACTGGTCTTTTCCCGCTATTGTTGATTTGTTTGCTTTTGTGGCTGGTTTACCATTTATGCTTTAAATAAATTTGCAACGACGCCTGTTCAACATTAAAATAAAATACCATAAATGGACAGCCCTCATTACTGACATTTCTCTTTTATTCAATTGTTTAATCCAGTACATAAACTTTATATATATATCGTGACTATTGTTATCAACAGGAAGAGTCCTTCCGCAGGGATTCCCCAACAAAATAATCCAGTATTAAAAACGGGAACAGAACGTAGAAAATCATGAATTTACTGCTGTTTGGCTTGTGCCTCCAACCGCTGAATTTATCAGTTATATTCATTATATAAAATCGTGTTACGTACTCTTTTCAGAAGAATAACTGCTTCAGGAATGATCGCGAGGGTATTATAATTTTGGTCAGATGTTTGTAACTCAGTGAAGAAGACATTTCCGACCCCCTTAACGTATAAATATTCTTCATCAGGATCAATAGGGGAGTCGATATAGCCATGTCCGTCTGTCTGTTTGTTTCAATACCGTTTGAGAGCTCAGTTAAAAAGCTAGCGATCTGGAACTTTCACGGTCATCCTAAAACATGTGTACGCAAACTAAGTTTGAAAAGCGCCCCGATCGGACGTCTATATCCTATAGCTCCCATAACTTGCAAGAATTGAAAATATTTCGCGCCGTGCATCCTATAGCTCCATAGATCCAATACGGTGGAATCGCTTAAAATTGTATACTTTTCAGGATATTTCGCGCAGTATATAACGTATTTCGGCAAATTCGGAAAGGTATTAAAACTTGGGAAAACTGAAGCAAGCTTCAATCCTCCTTTTAACTTATTTTACCTTTTACCTTACCTAGATACTTGAAAAATTAATTAAAATTAAGTGCAAAATTAAAAAATTGTGTGATGGGTTTTACAAACGCTTGCGCTGCGTGAGCAGAACTAGCAAATATAGTTTTGGAGGTCTCGATGTTCATGACGGCAGTCGGACAGACAGACATGGCTAGATTAATTCGGCTATTGATCATGATCTAGAATACATATACTTTTAAGGGGCAGTCTTTTACTCTCTAAGTAACGGGAATCAAAATGAATTATGATTTTCTTGTTGGTAACTTATAGAGCATTTCATGCTCAAAGTCAAAATAAACCAATAGAATGCATTGCTGCCTGTTACCACCACCATCTCCTTTTTGGGGGTTATCAAACACATAACAATAGAGCAGAACAAAATCGCGCCACTTTACCGTGGCAATTGCCATTGGGAACGTGAATATGTATAGAGGGCAACAAACCAAACCAAACTAAACTTAGCCGAACACAAATAAAGGAAGAGAAAACTAAGCTGAATAGCACGGAATGAATAGAAGAACATACAAAAAAAAATAAATTAAAAATAAGTAAAAAGAAAGTAAGTTGGAAAGGGCTGGGAACTTGTGGCTGAGCCGACAAAAACCAGATGAAAATCATGAAATATTTCGTACATTAACAATTGTTATACGAAGTTGCCTTTTCCACTTCCCTTCAACGAACTTCTCCCAGCAGCATGCCAATAATAGTTGCATTTGACTTTGTTACTATCCAAAGTTAAAGTTTGGAGGAACGGAAAAGGAAAATGGAATCGAGGAGTCAGCATCTTATGTATTCCATTATGACTGTGTCCATTCCTTTTGCTACTGTTTTTCTTTGACTCTATTTCTTCTAGCATTTTCTTCTCGACTTTCTGGCTCAATTACTCAAAGTTTTTGTGCTCATGCCAATGGAAAGACCAAAAAAGAAAAAATAAATTATGCATTTTAATATAGTATACAATGGTACCAAACTAATCTAACATTTTTGGCATGCTCAAGAGAATTAAAGAATTTTAACCGTTATTATGTAAAGATTATTAAATTAAACTTAATTTGAATACTTATTTCAAAATCGATAATAAATGTATAGGTTACTTAAAAATGAATTAGTGTTAATTTCTTAAAAGCTAATATTGCCCAAATACTCAATTGTAGGCACGTACTCACAAGCAAATTCGCTTGTATTTTGTATCTTAAAAAATGGTACTTCAACATTTTGTTGTTGTTTGGTTTACTTATTTATAGAAAAATGACAATCACAATAGTTATACATTTACGTGATGTGTGTTTTTTCTGTAGCATACTTTAATGTTATGCGTTCTTAAAAGAATCGTTATACATTGGGGTGATTCTGGACAGACAGCTCACTTTCCAGAGACACACCACTATACTTAAGCAATCTAAGCTTACAAAAGCTGCAAAAATATCTTGGCTTGTTTCGTCAAAAACAAAGTTCGCATTTATTAGTCCATTCTGAACCTTATTTGGAAATATGTTACAAGTCAGTCACAATATGACAAATTTTATTATAAAACTATATATTAATTAATATAATAATTCAAACAACGTTATCGTTATTCAAGGTGACACTTGACTCTGAGATGGCCTAACTGTTAATTAAATAATTAAGTAAATCAAACGCAAATCTGAAAACGCTGAAACATTTTGATTTACACAACTCTAACAGCTATTCACGCGTTCCCACTTAGATATGCAACATTTTCCGCATAATTTCATATACACCACTCCGGTACCTGTCATTAGTACCACGTCGTCCCATCCCTTTTCGCGCTCCACCTGCAGCAGGTGAGGCTAATCACGTGACATAACAACACGAAAACACGGATGCTGGGCCTTTGGCCAAACAATTATTGCGGCCCAGCAGGCTCACGTACACGAGCAGTGAATCTCAAACACACTTTCACAGAAAAATAAAACTAAAAGTAAGAGATAATCTGAAAAAAATATATATAACTATAACTATACCCTTGCAGAGATTATTATAATTTTGGTCAGAAATTTGTAACGCAGTGAAGGAGACGTTTCCGAACCCATAAAGTATATTCTTTATCAGGATCAATAGGGGAGTGGATATAGTCTGTCCGGCTATCGTCTGTTTCAATACCGTTTGCGAGCTCAGTTTAAACGCAAGCGGTCTGAATCTTTCACAGTCGTCCTAAAACATGTGTACGCAGATCAAGTATGAAAAACGCCCCCGATCCAACGTCTATATCCTTTAGCTCCCGTAGGAACAATCATATGACTTGCAAGAATTGAAGATATTTCGCGCAGAGTAAAAGCTATTGATATGCATCTTTCCATTGCATAGCTACCATAGGAATAAAATGGGGAAATCGGTCTAAATTAGATTTTTTTTAGCATATTAATACTTTAATAATTAATAAATGCAAGCGTAAATGTTTCCTAAAAAGGATGTGTTAAGATACTGTTTTAGAACAAACGTTTACACATAATATTAAACAAATAAAAATTAAAATCGACAGGCGAATGTGCAAAGACAAAACGAAAGTCAAAAATGGGCATTTCTGATACGCATCAGGGTCTGGACTCCATTTTCAATTTAACTCTAAATTTAAATTATCTCAAAACATTTTTGGTCAAACATTCGTTTCAAATCTCTTGTGTAATTGTTAATTTTTTTGTATTTTTATTATTTATCGTTTAATTGGGACGCCATGAGTTTATTTTAGGTTGAAATTCTGTGATATTTTTTCTTACTAAGAGATTGCGAAATGAAAATAATGGTTTGTTGTTATATACATTCCGAGTGTATATCTTAAATTACAATTATCAACTTTGACCAATATGTACAAAATCGAAAATGTATATACCGTTAATGGTTGCCACAATTTAATTGATTTCGACTGATTACTAAGAGGAGAATTTTTCCTTTCTCTTGTAGGTCCGCTATCAAATGCCAATAGCAAATGACATAGCATTGTTTGCATATCAAACCCCACTTGAACTCTCAGAGCCGCAAGTTACAGTCCGCATGGAAACAATTTCGAATATATACACCTCTCAGGCGGTAGGCCCACAGTCAGGCATATAAACCAGTTACATTTACATAAGGGAGGGAGGAAATGAAACGGAAAATGCCAAAATGCGAACAAAAGCTTAACATGAAATATTTATAAATATTACGTATACGTAATCAAATTGATTGATTTTGCAATTTTACGAATGCCGATTTTGTTTCGGACCAGAAGAAACTGGCCATACAACAAAAGGTCCAAGAGGAGGAAAAGCAGCAAGGATAAAAAAAACCGAATGGGCTGATTGAACACTTGGATTATTGGGGTGGGTAAAGTCTAAACATCTTAAGTGATTTTCTACCGTTTGTGGGTGGGTGTAGAAAACTAGTCAGATAAAACACATTATGGTAATGTGCACACAGTAACAAGTTACCGACACGCCTCTATTAACATTAAGACATCCCAGCCATCCACACAAACTACCACAACGTAAACCTTTACGGCGAGAAAGCCACGGACTCTGCTCTTGACTATTGACCTGAAATACAAATGGGGAGCTTTTGAGGTTTTTTTTTGTATCCACCGTTTTCAAAGTTTCCAAGTATACGCAATCACACAACGGCACATGTTGTTGTCAAGAGCAAGGAATCAGTCTTTATTCGATTGACTTCGTTGAAACTGGAAAAGGGTTTCAAATTCAACGCTTCCAAAAAATTATGATTAATTTGATTATTTTTTAAAATTTTTTAAAACTGCGTAGGCTACTTTAATATTTATGTAAATTTACTATGGCACTTGTTTTAGGTCCTGTGTAAAAATTTACAACTGAGAATTTTAAATGGAGTTTAAATTATTTCTTGATAAACGAGGAAGGTTACAAGCCACCATAATATTACACTCTTATTTAACAATAAACCAGGGACTTGTAATAACTCTAATTATTACAAAACAAAAATTAAAAGAAAAAAACTATTATTTTTATATAAATTATATAAATTTACAATTTTATTTTTACATTTTATTTAAATAATTAATGCATAAGTCGTATTTTTCCACTCTTCCTAAAAGTTTTTAGGGCTTACATTTAATTGAACTCATACTTTTATTTGCGCTCCCTGTGCTTAACTCGTTTTGCTTACCACAAATAATGCTGCCCAAATTTGCTGAGACTGCCAGTGAATAATCGTCAACATTTTTATCTGCATTTTCTCGTAATCATGATTTCATGCTGAAAGGAAAAAATAAATGGGAAAAGCATTCAATTAGCGATACGTTTATACTGTTAATAAGGAGAGTTTTAAGTTTCTTAGCAATTTAATAGTCGATTTAGTTACTAAAACAAAAAAACACCTCCAAAAATGAAACGAATATACTATAAAACATTGTATAAATCAGCAACTCCCAACCATTAATGAAGCAAAATGCCAGCTGATGGTAGCCAAGGATGTCGAGGAAGAACTCCAAAGATATATGACCGGGTGTTTGGAGAAATGAGATGGAAGTTAAAAGAAGAGTCAAAGTTGCAGGAAGAGGAAAAGGCTTCGGAGATAGCTGAGCTGACTGCCTCGGAACCCAAACGAAGATAACAAATTCGTTTATGGCATTGGAACATTTGTCATTCAAATTATGTACAAACGACATTATTCAAGTCGCTGGGAGCAGGAAGATATTCTAAGACGCAAGGTCAATTTTAAACATTTTACTTTGTAGGGCTGAAAACATTGTTCTGATTTCTCATATTGGTTTAGCCAACTAAATTTAAATTTATAGTAGTAAACACTTCTTTGAACAAAATACAAGGACGTAAAAATAAGATCTTATATCTACGAAATTGATTAAATTTAGCCCAAAAGTAATTATATTTTCTAATACCTATTACACCGACATGCTGTATTTTTTTAGTTTTCTCCATCAGTTGTAGTTTTCCTACGCCTGAAACAGCAACTGGAGAATTTTAGAAATCATTTAAAATCAATTATAATACGCGTTTGGGACCACTAATAGTTTTTCCCAAAACAGCCTATTTGGAAAAATTACATTAACCGGATGGACGAAGCCGAAGCGTAAAATAACTCGCTGGCGAGCTGCAGAAATGAATCGAATATGCAGCCGATGATAATTGAGGCAATTTTCTGGTAATTGGCATTGCATTTCCTTCATTAGAAAAATTTAAATTTATTCGTTGTGACAGTTTTCAACAGATTAGGATTTTCGGCAGGGTAGTGGATTAAATAAGAAACATTACATAAAATTCACAAGCGAAGGTCATAAATTTAATAATTTCCAGCAGGGAACAGGCACTAAGCTTTGCCTTTGGGGCCTTTGAGGCATGTGGGCGTTGTTGCGTAAAAACTGATGCAGAAATTTTTATGTGGTTTTTATATGCGTTTCTGGCACTTTCATTTTTAGGACGGAGACACGTTTTAAGGGTTGGTGCGTAATGTAATTAGATCGTCATTGGGAAGTGGATGTGGGTTGAACTTATTTTGAGGTTTATTTGTTAAAATTATGAATTTCCAGCTTGCGTTGGCTCGAAGAAATTCTGCTTGAATAAATCATGGTATATAAATCAAAACGTGAATCATTTGTTCAAAGTAAATAATACTTATGTATATTACAAGTCATTTCATGAGGATTTCGTAAGATTATAAGCATTTTAAGGTTCTTTTGATTAAGGTATCGTAACATAACATAATACGTTCACACTGTTTTTAACTCCCAAATAAAAAATAAAAATTCAAAACTGCCGCTCCTTCAAATTAAGTCCATACTTAAAACCGCAATTCTCGAGAACTATTTAAAGGAATCACGTCATTTCCAGAGGGTATCCAAAAGTAATTCTAAAGCAAAGTACCCCATTACGAAAAAAAGCATGATTTTTTAGTTTTTGTCGATATTTTATAAACAAGTAAGAAATCCAGCTAAATTACATTTTGTACTTTACATTTTAATCAATTTCAATGATTTCACAAGAAATTTGATCACCTAAGTATTCAACTCTGTTCACTAGTTTTTTTTTTATTTAATTTTGCATGAAATTGAATCTTTAAAAATATGTCCAAAAAAATCCATTTGGTAAAATTTTTTGAAATGTTGACATAAATTAGTTTAATGTATATTAAAAAGGTTCCCAACTTAATTTTGAAAAATTCATCAGCTTTTTTTTCTGATAATCCGGTCACGAGTTATGATGTTCACCGCAAACCAACCTTTTTTCAAGGCGCCTCCGAAGATGCACAGTTAGCGGCTTATTTTTTTAGTTTTTATTTATTAAATCATGACATTTAATACGCATTGTAATACGCATTATTATTATGATTTGAATTTAAATTCACCAGTTAGAAATTTAATTTTGCTATTCCATTTTTTTTAACAGTGTGCCCCAGAAAACAATCAAGGCACCGCGTCAGACCAAAGCAAAAATAAGAGAACTCTAAAAAAAAATAATTGTCTATTTCCCTTTTTCCGCCATTTAGTTCCTGGGTTTCCCCTAACCCCTTACCTTTTTGACTTTCTGTGACGTTGTCATTGTCAATACACGTTGTCATTGTTGTTCTTTGTTAGAAATGTTGCGCATTGAACTTTTAATTAGCAGACAGAAAGCAAAGCAAAAGTCAGGTAATGGAAGGGAACGGGGATTTTGGCTTCCAATTTAACGGTACGTATTTACAGAACGGGGGAATTACCATTTCCGACCAAAAAACAAAGTGAAATTAATTTTTGCGCAAAGATTGAATTTGCCTTTGTGGGAAAGGTAGAGCAAAACGGCGCTGTTAAAGTGTAGTTGGATAAGGGGTTTTAATTCGTTCTGTGATGAGATTTAAATTATAAACAATTAAAATGTCATTATTCCTGAAACCAAAGGAGAGTTTCTCACAAATGAAACTTTCAGACATCTAACGAAAAACCGCCGATAAGTAGACATGTTGTCTAAATGACTGTATATCAAATTTATCGCAGTGCATAACAAAATAATATATGTGCAACTCCAGGGTTTCGGATGCGGCATCCTGACAACTTTAACATTCAAAATCAGTGTGAAAATGTAGGTATTTTTATTTTTTAATTTTTGTTTAGAACAGCGCCCAATCATCTATCCAATGGTAAAAAACATAGCTAAATATATCCAGTAACTTCTTAAAATTAAAAATAAAAATTAAACAGCATTTTACAAAACACGATAAAAGCAAACAAATTTTAAACAATCAGTGGTCTTGTCACTATAATTATAGCTTCAACGCCATCGACTGCTTAATTTCCATAAGACGTAGCGAAATGGTTTCATTAAATATTTTCGCAGCCAAAATAGTAGAAAAAAACTATTTAGCTACGGACTATAACTTTATTTTCCATTCTTTTCCTTAAGTTTTCTTATAATTTTGGTTAAAAAGCACAAAACGTTGGAATTACTTACAGTTAGTTTTACATTTTAGTTCGTTTCGAATGTTATGACTAAAAATTATTAAGCATTCAACTTAATAAATTCACATTTTAACATTTTTGTTATTCGGCACGCTCAAACAAAAATAGGCCTGTGTAGATAAAAAGATTGGTTGGAGCGCGACGAATAAAAATAATAATACTAATAATTAATAATTAATAATTTTTAGTCAAAAAATTTAATATCAGAAATTTTGTGCGTCGAAGTTGCGATCGTCACGTGTTTTTGGTTGTTAATTTAATGAAGGAAAAAAATAAGATATTACTCAAGATACAATTATTCCAAACAGCAGTCTTTTACACTCAAAATTCGGTGTCGAATCATATTTCTTCACAGCTCATCAAATCCATCATAGAGAAACCAGTCGTTCAAACTTGTAAACCATTACGGCCACCCACACAGCCAAACTAGTTTTCACAGAGCGGTTTCATTTGATGACGCAAAACCGTCGAAATCGATGCCGAGTCGATCACAACGGCGGCTCATTAAACGACCATCAAGGCTTGTTAATTTTGACATTTCAATAGACCATCGACATGCCATCAATTCGTCAGTCAGTTACAGCATCAACACGGAGCGAATCCGGATAAATTCCTACGATTGGCTCCCAGGCGAATCAGCTCGTTACTGAAACGGTTACGGTTATCCCACGCCACAAAGAGTTTTCCGCCTAAATAATTTTATCATCTTTGTTCCAATCTAGCACATAACACGATAATGGAAGGGGAGTTAAAATGGGTAAGTTGTACGTAAAACAATAAGTTTTCGGTTGGCTAGGACAACACATTACTATTGATTTGCGCTTTTAAAGTAATAACAATAAAATCAATATATAATTATTATCGAGACAAATGCTAAAAAATGTACAACAAAATTGCTGCAAATATAACCAATTAAACTTCCCCCGTAATTTCTCCTATTCCATCGGCACGCCTTTGGGTAGCCATCTATTTTTTTCATAACTGGGCAATTGCAATAGGCTATGTAAATGATATTTGCTTATCATTAGCACTAACCATACAACATATAACCATACAACCTATGTCATTGGTAACGGACCAGAGCAGAAAATTACGAAGACAACTATGTGTGCTGGCAAACGCAAGTGAAACGCTTGATTGAAGCCCACGCACAGGTAGATGCACATATACTCATAAAAAACAACGGAATAATAAAAAAAAGACAATATATATATATATAAATAAAAAATGACAAATATTACATCAATGAGTATAACTAAGAATCCATGTAATTTATATTATATTATGGTGAAAATATTAGGTTCCTCTGGAACTTATCCGCTTTTTCCACTTTTTTCGAACCGTTTCTTTCTTTTTGACTTGGCGATGCTGCGCTGACAGGCGAGCGAGCAATAAGTTTCAAATAGTGCCGACAGTTGTGTCGAAATGACAGTGACAGCTCTAGCATTAATAAAAAAAAACTCAGCATTTGTCCGAAAATGGAATAAAAGCATATTAGACAAAAACAGCAAGAAATACGAAAATTGCATAATAAATTCCAATTTTCAATTTTAGCCCAACAGTTTTTTTTTGCAGCTTTGTTATATATCTATGAATATCCGGTTATATTTGGAGGAATCTAGTAGAATAAGCTATTAATAACCAACAACGGTTAAAAATGAAATAAAAAAAAACATTTGAGAGTTATTTTCTGAATCTGGTAACTCTAACTATTTTAATAGGCTTGCATACGGAATAAAAAAGAAAGACATACGAACATGGCCACATAGACTCGTTAAGTTCTGAGCAAAACTATAATTCACTGTGCAAAGGTATCCCGTTGATACACAGATACAAATTAATACTTGGTGGGAAATACACAACATTGATTTTGGCTGAAAAATTTAAACTTAAAAACACACATGAAATGATGCATTTCAAAATTAAGGCATAAAACAAAAGTTTTTTATATCTCTTACAGGGAAGTCACGATTTACTTCGTTAGTTTTGGAATTTCGAAATATAACCAAAAAAACAGTCGGTATAACTAGGCAAATGTATTTTTCCGAAAATTTTTAGTGTATTATGTTTATTTAAAAGGTCGGAAAAGAAATAATTGACTCAAACTCACATTACAAAAAAAAAGAGAAGAGCTTTAAAATTTAAAATTGTTGAGAACTAAATTTGCAATAATCATTTTTTGCTACGCCCATAATAATTTAATTACCAATTAACCCTTGCTTAGCAAAACATTTTTAATTTGAAATAATTTAACATTAAAAAAATACTTTAAAAAGCTTTAAACGGACGTTAATGAAGTAAAGAATCAAAATTACTGATTTATTTAATTGGCAAGAATCCTAAGTGCTACAAGCATAATCTTATTGTTACTTCGTTACTGTTGTGAATAGAACAAGTAATCATTAGCTCAATTTAGTGAAGCGTGACCTCAAAACTTAATTGAAGTCTAAATCATAATAACAGTATATGGGTAAAAGTATTTAATCAGGCTTCGCATTATACAACGTCAGCAAGGACAGTAGAAAAAGACAGTCCATATTATAGACACAAAAAATTGGTCTAGCAGCACAGCAAAACCATTTTAAGGAAAAGCAAAGAATTTCGAATACAATAAATTATTTGCCATCCATAAATCAGGGCAGGAGGCGAGCAAGTGCGTTGCACACACAAAACTTGAGAACTTGTTAAAGCCACTTAAAGATTTATTTCTAGATCGCAGAGTCAAAAGCGGAGAAGCGAGAAATGGGGCTAGCAAGAGCGAAATAAAGTTTCGTTTGCTGAAGATTTCACCACTTTTTTAGTTTTAATTTCCCTGAATATGTGTCAGGGATTAAAGGTAACCGTGGCCAGATGCCGAGACATTTCCCAGCAATCCACTGCAACTTGTCTACCCAAACAAGTTGCGCAAAACTTCATCGTAGACGTTTTTGGCCGAAGCCATGTGGCTCTCGAGAAAGGTTCGCATGTCTGGCGGTCTACAAGACTACACTTTGATTTCGTGGCAGATTTCAAGTGTTTAGCTTCACGGGAATTTGACGGAAGAAAAGGGAGCTTGGATGCAGGTTCCTAATTTAGTGCCTTGCCGGGAGTTTAAAGTTAGGTACTGCCATTGCCATTAAGCAGTTGCATTACTATTATTTCCCCTGCACTCAAGCCTCAATTTACTTAATAATATTAATCTTAAGCAGCATCAAAAACTGTGCTGAAGCGCATTTAAAGCTTTATACATACATAAAGTAGCAAAATACGGTTTTCAAATTGGGGAGATGGCGGAAATATTTCATTAGGCGATAATTGAACTGGGCTGGGGCGTTGTGCGTGGAGCCAAGCGCAGAAAACGGTTTTTTATGAAGTTTTTTCTAAAGGTTGTGGAATGAAAATTAAATTTTCAATTGTTAAAAATGTAGGTACTTTAGTACATATTAGTATATTCTAGAAGCATTTTAATAAATTGTTTTTATGTTTTTTATTGACGTGTTTAAATGTAATCCGAGGTTTCTCACCGTCTCAAATTCCTGACTTTGAAGTTTCTCGTTATTGATTAATCGACCTATTTTCTCTTAATTTTTTAAAATTATTTTTGTTTATTCTTAAATTTTTAAAACTTTTTTTTTTTTGTCAATTTTGTTATACATTCTAACAAACTCGGTTTCCTAAATTGTTCAGCTCAACTAGGCAGCACTCATCAAAAAATATGTGAACTTTAACCTTGCACATATTGCATGACCAACCCCTAGAAGTTGTATAAAAAAAAATTAGAAAAAGGAGGCTTGGACAACGAAAAGACAGTTGCTAAAGTGGCAAAACAACCATCTATCCGTGATGCCGACACACTCCTGACATTCTACACATTGTCTGAATTTCCTTTCGCACCTTGGGTCTCCCCTTAACCCACACTGCACAATTTCTACCTTTTCAGTCGGTCTAGCCGACTCTTTCAATTGTCGTTGACTTTTGCATACTTTTGTCGCTTCATTTTATTTCATTTCATACTTTTTTTCAGCACTCATTCAACAGAAACCGCTTTTGAATGCTTTATAATTTACTTAAAAAGTACGTCGACATCTCCGGCGCAATTCCCGTTGTGTGAGTGTGTCTGGAACGTTTTTAGGCATTTGGAGCTCATGAAAGAACTCTAGGCATTTGAGCATATGTGTGCTGTACGTGTGGACTTCAGATTAGCAGGCTTATTAAGCTCTCTTGTATGCGTGCACTTTACGACGATTTAAATTGGGACCTAAGCATACGTTATACTTATGACAACTTTATTGGGGCAAAGCTGATTGCTTTCCCTTCAGAATAAATTTTGGTCTGTAACAGACTTTGTCATGGAAATGATGCGTTTTCCGGTGGTAAACGCATAAAGAATATGTTTATTATTTTCCACTTTTTTCAATGGATTTCTTATAAAAATGCTAGGAAAGACATTTTAAGTAATTTAGAGCCATACATCTAGAGGCACCTAGTGCTTACACATGTTATGAATGTATTTTGTGAAAGATTTATATAGCTAATGGCTTGTTTAATTTAATTTATATTAATTAAGTCAGTTTCGGAACACTTTAAAGTCATTTCTTAGGTTCCGATTTCAGACTTTGGAGTCCGTCTAAAAACGCTCATCTTTTCGTGTCAGGATCCGAACTCTATTCGAAATACATACTTCCTTGGTAAAAAAATAACAAATTATTAAAGAAATGTAAGATTTAAACATTTTTATAAGTTTAAGTTAACAGTTTCCCGCACATACTTTCTTAAAAGTTTCGCAAACGTTTCAAGGACAAAGTTTAATAAAAAAGGTAATTAATAACTCTGTTCACTTGCCTTCAACGCAAAAAAAACCGCATCGTTCTAACATTAAAGTATGGTATCGAAGTGAAAAGTGAATTCAGGGACTTTTATATATACATGTAAAATGGTAGGACTTACGGCAAGCAGGAGTTGAAGGATTTGACACGCTCATCCAATAAAAAATCCAAAAACAGTGTGGAAGAGTGGTGTCTGCTAATCCACTTTAGAAATGTTCCTGCTCTTTCCACACAAAATGCTCACGCAAAAGGCACCTGCACGTAAGTCTTATCCTCTGGATGCTCCTAAGGTTTTTTCTCACTGATTGTTACACACTAAAATCGAATTAAACTTGCGTTGCACTCGTTTTTTTTTTGTTTAGCTTGTCGCACTTGCCACACGTTGCACAATACTTTCTCTGTAACTTTTACTTTGTTTGTAGCCCAGCAGCAGCAAGAAACATTAAAACCTCTAGGACGTGCAAAATGTAGAACTTTTTCTGTTGGTCAGGAAGCTGAGCGCGAAAAGGATTTTCTAATAAGAAACGCGAGACGCGGCAAAAGTTATCCTTTGCCGAAATCGTGGGCTTATGGCCCCACTTTCTCTATGTTGTATTTTTATATGTTTACTTGTTTTATTTTCTCTGGCTGGGATTTGGGTCTCAAAAGGAAAGTCGTTAAAAGTTTTGCGTTTTTTAATGGCAGTTCCTTTTAAGCCACCAATTATTGCGTTTTCTGCTCCTTTTTGATAAATGAAAAAGAATTAATTATTTTTGTCAGCTAAGGCAATTATTTTTATTTCGATTTGTGAAGTTTAGTTCTTGTTTCTTTCTTTCAGTATTGTAATTAACTTTTATTTAAAAAAAAAAACCATGGATAAGAAATGTATAGTGTACAACAAAATTCCGACTTTATTTAATTTATCTCGCTAAAACTTTACAAAGCAATAACATATTCTGTTTTAAAAAAGAATAATCAACAATCATTTCAAATTAACTGTATAAGCGTTTTGGACTGATTTAATGGATTGGATTAAATATTTTTTTAATTTGTTCCGCAATAGCACTTTTTTTATTGACTTTCCTCTAATATTTACTTTGTTGTTAATTATTTAGTTAAGTTGAAAAATTACTTGTAATTTTACTTGCTTTCACTCCGTTTTTAAACTAAGTTATTTGAGCATTGTTATTTGCTATTTTTAATATTCTTGTTGTTATTTGTTGCATTCGCACTACAACAACACGAAAGCAGCCAGCACACACAGACGCGCACCAAGGAAGTTTCACAATTTTCCCAATTTTCTTTACCGTTAGCACAGTCGCATGCTCTGAAAATCGCGTGAATCCGCTCGATCCGGGCACGTCCGAACGAGAAAACGGTGAAAATTTGAATTCCAATTGGAGGAAAAACGAAACGAAAAGCTAACCATACACTTCGTTTCTTAACATTTCTGTTAGGAATCACAGTTACGAACGCTGAGAGAGCGAAGAGAGAGAGACGATAAACGAAACCATCGTTTTTCTAATATTTCTGAATGTATAGAGAACGGATGTTGTTGTGGTTGGATGCCAAACAGGTTTGAGTGAAAATAGTTAATATGTTGCATCTGAGAACACGTTGCAGGGTTACGTTTGAGTTAAAATAGATGGCAAGCATGTTGTATGCAGGGTGACACACATTGCAGGGTGACGTTTGAGTGAAAATAAATGGCAAACATGTTGCACCTCAGAACACGTTGCAGGCGAGGTGAAATGTAACAGTTATTTTCCCCTGAAATGTTGCTCAACAATTTTATGCCGATTTACCAGATTTACTTACCGATAGCATACTAACATTGATGGAGCGTAATTTGTATTGGGAACCAATTTTGATGTTGTATAATTACTCTTTTCTACCGGAAAGTTTAAGAACAAAATTCGATGAATTTTTAGGTTCGTTTAAAATGTAAAACGAGGCCAAATAAAAGCTGTAAACAGGTAAAACAAAAATAAAATAAAAATAAATATAAAAATTATAGATCATAAGGTATGACAAGGGCATGGAGGCGGCTTAAGAAAATTAATATGACCGAGAATCAAATAGCTACCACATCCAGAAGCAGTCTCCAATGTGACAACAACGATGTCATGGAGCTTGAAAACGCAAATACCAAGCGATGATACGTAACTTCTTCTGAAAAGGTCTTTAGCTCCGACGAAAGCAGCTAAGAAGAAGATGGAGAAGAAACTTCTACAAATACTACCAAAGCAGAGCTTAACGGCCTACTCCTGGAGCTAAAACAATTAACCGAAGAGAACAAACGTTTAATGCAACAAGAGAACATAAAAATCGCCAGAACACCGAAAGGTGACAAGTTTCCAAAGTCATCAGCCACATCATCATCATCAAAAAAAAAAAAAAATCTAAACAACCCAGAAGACTGCTACCCAGAAGACAACAAGATCTGCAGATTTGGCTCCCTGACCAGGCATTAATCTCAAAAACCTACTTTTATTTTTCTATATAATAAAAACCATACCAAAAAAAAATTTGTGTTAAATAATAAGTACACACATAACATATTAAATAAAAATGTAACTCATGTTAAATTATAGTCGCGTGAAAAACAAATCAAATGAATTTCTGTTCATATATCCCTAAACAACTAAAACCTTATAATAAATTTATAAAAAAGATACCTCCCTTAATTTATGATAAAAAAAATAATTCAAATGCGCGTAAAAAAACTACCAGTATTGGCAGTAACCTTTATAGAACCATTTAAGACAAAACACTGGCACGTCGGTATAAAAACATGCAAAGACATTTAAAATATTTTCAAAATGAATTATTTACTAAACTGCAAAATAAATATTGAAGCATAATAGACAAACCCAAAAGATATAAAGCAGTGTCACAAGTGCAACATGCCACAAATGCATAGTAAGCCACGTCCCAGGCCAACGCAAAGTCAAAAAACCGGAAAATATCATCATAGTAAAGTAAAAAACTACCCAGTGCGTCAATTGGCAACGGCAAAATAGGCCATTTACGCATAAAATACATTACAGCATTAAAAGACAAACGAAATCTAAAAACCAAAAAACTGAACAAAACAACAAACCCAATAACATACTTTTCTTCAGACGGCAATTATTTTCCGACATTAGAAATCAAAAAAAAATTCAAATACAATCGCTTCTGGCTGATCGATCTCACAACACAAATAAGCCACCTAAAATTTATTGAAAATCAAATTATGCACATCAAACCCCAAGACATTAGCTTGAAATATCTATCAAATACAAAGAGCAAACAACTAAGCCATGGCATCTGGCTAACTATAGAGTAAAAAAGCTTTCTCTGTTAGAAAGAATGCTACTAACTCAAATAAACAAGTACCTAATTGAAAATAATATATTAATACCATATCAATTTGGGTTTAGGGAAAATTCCTTGGTTAACCACGCATTTGCAGTTGCCAATGCTTTCATATTGTGCATTCGACTTTAAAAAGGCTTTCGACACAGTTTGAACAAATGGACTAGTTTACAAAATGTTATATTCAGTTATCTAAATTCAAGAACATTTTTCGTCTGTAGCCCTAATGGTCAAGAACATTTCATAATACGGCCAATATTCCACAGTTTCGCTGCCGTCTGCGAAGAAGTCGTCGACCTAATGGTGTAGCAAGACGTCTAGCCAGACGGTTTGCGTGATCCGGCAAGCGATCTCGATTTGAAATATGTTATTTTTATAAATTTTCTCTAATAAATATATTCCATTTCAAAATTCATTGTTTTAGAAAATCCATTTCAAAAATGGCGGGTTTTCTATACGATGTTTGTGGTGTCTGTATTCATCGTATAAAATCAGAAAAACGAGATGGTAATGTTGTTATCATCGATGTTCCTTCCACCGCTGTCTATATTAAAGAAAACAATTTCGATGTATTTGAAGAATTTTTAACATTTCTTACTTGAATGATGTTAAATAATGAGTGCATTTCAGCAGATGATAACAATTTTAACAGAATGTGTGCAAGAACTTGTGTGAGAAGTTAACAGTGGCAAGGAAATATCGTTGGAGATAGATACACGTCGATGATCCCCGACAAGCATCGATAAGACCGATTCTTGAAAACATCGATGACATCGATGCTGGCATCGACGTTTCTCCACCTCTAGCGGTGAATTTGCGTATTTTGGTTTGTATTTTGCAGTGAAATGTTAGCCAAACGTCGAACTAACAGAGAAATGTTAACCAAACGCCGAACTAACAGCGAAATGTTAGCGTAACGTCGAACCAACAGAAAGAGAGAGATGGGCGGACAAACATCGACAGTCCCTGCCAAATATCGATAGGACCGATATTTGGAAAACATCGATGACATCGGTGCTGGCATCGACTTCTCCCCACCTCTATTTCCTCTCTCTTTCCTGTCGAAACGTCTTTGGAGGCGAAGCGTAGTGTTTTTTTGGTCCGCGTGAAAATCTCCGAACATCCATAATGGTAAGGTGACACAAATCCGAATTCAAAGTATCAGAAAATGTTTATATTAAAAATGAGCGGTTCGTGAATGAGGGGCCGAAAAATGCATACGTGACTATCCTGTCACCTGAGAAATTTATAGATGTGTACATGTGTCTCGGGTATATGCATATATTTGTTCACGTGTAGATAGTGCACGCCCGTGTGTGTCTGTGTCTAGTGGTGAAATGCAAGACAAAGACCAGAAATGACGTATGCAGTTTGCTATTGAAATTTCGCAAGAATGTCGGCTGCTGGGTGAAAGTTGTGAAATGCGCTGAAGGACGACCACATCTAATTATACGTCTCGATGCTGCGTTGCGGGTGTGTGTGTGTCCGTGAGTGAGTGATGTGATTTTCTTTAAATAGGCAACGCAAGTGGTTTTCTGTTCTTATTTAACCTCAAAGTCCGTGGCACGACTGCGGGAAGTGTGTGTGTGTGTGTGTGTGTGGACGCCATTTTTAATAACTACATATGTATATACACATGGTGGGAACTTGTTCTAGTAAATAACGATGTCCTATTTTCGCAGGTCAACTTCACCGTCGACGAAATCCGTGGCCTCATGGACAAGAAGCGGAACATCCGCAACATGTCCGTGATTGCCCACGTTGACCACGGCAAGTCCACCCTGACCGATTCGCTCGTGTCCAAGGCTGGCATCATTGCCGGAGCCAAGGCCGGTGAGACCCGTTTCACCGACACCCGCAAGGACGAGCAGGAGCGCTGCATCACCATCAAGTCGACGTAAGCACAGCCGCGTCCATGCCCCTTGACCCCGGCTAATCTGTATTTCTTGCCCCTTGCAGTGCCATCTCCATGTACTTTGAGGTGGAGGAGAAGGATCTGGTGTTCATCACTCATCCCGATCAGCGTGAGAAGGAGTGCAAGGGTTTCCTGATCAACCTGATCGACTCGCCCGGCCACGTTGATTTCTCCTCTGAGGTGACCGCCGCCCTCCGTGTGACCGACGGTGCCCTCGTCGTGGTCGACTGCGTCTCCGGTGTGTGCGTGCAGACCGAGACCGTGTTGCGTCAGGCCATCGCCGAGCGCATCAAGCCCATCCTGTTCATGAACAAGATGGACCGCGCCCTGCTCGAGCTGCAGCTGGATGCCGAGGAGCTCTACCAGACCTTCCAGCGCATCGTGGAGAACGTGAACGTCATTATCGCCACCTACAACGATGACGGCGGCCCAATGGGTGAGGTGCGCGTGGACCCCTCCAAGGGATCCGTGGGCTTCGGCTCCGGCCTGCACGGCTGGGCTTTCACCCTCAAGCAGTTCTCCGAGATGTACTCCGAGAAGTTCAAGATCGATGTTGTCAAGCTAATGAACCGGTAAGAAGCCTCTTTGTTATTTTATTTTTCGACATTATCAACGCTTCTAGCACGATACGTGTGGCGCTGAGCGGGCGGCATCTTGGAAGGCAGCTCCCCAGGGGGCAGTTTTCTTCAGAGTCGCCCGTGCTGAGGGCGCCACAAGTGCCACAAAAATAGAAGTAGAGAAAACTGTAGGAGGCTGCTGAAACGCTGCCTCGGGACCGCTTTCCTAATGTCCTAACGAGTCATGCTAAGGCAGCAACCTTACACTATTTTTGTTAAGCTTCTAAAAATTTGTTGCTCTTATACATACATTAACCAAACTAACAATTCACAGTCTTTAATACAAAAGGGTTTACTTATAAACTATTTAATAAAATTATTAAGGCTTCAAAAAATTTTCCATGTTTAATATATTTGTCAATCATCACACCAACACAGAAAAATTAATTTAACTAATTAATTAAATACAATTCATTTTTAAATGCAAAAAAAAAATAAGAAGCTGTGTTAGCATTTCTTAAATGTTTATATAATATAAGAACCTTTTGACAAAAGAAAATTCTTTGATAATGAAAATGATTAAATTCACATTGATAATGTATAGCGATTCAACAGAAAACCGATAAGAAATACTTATTGAGTATGCTTTAGAGGTTAAGATAGGTTAACAATTTCTGAGTCTTTAAGATGTGTGTAAATGTAAATGCGTTTTATCTGCTCGTCCACAGTCTGTGGGGTGAGAACTTCTTCAACGCCAAGACCAAGAAGTGGCAGAAGCAGAAGGAGGCCGACAACAAGCGCTCGTTCTGCATGTACATCCTGGATCCCATCTACAAGGTTTTCGATGCTATCATGAACTACAAGAAGGAGGAAATCGGTACTCTGCTCGAGAAGATCGGCGTGACCCTGAAGCACGAGGACAAGGACAAGGATGGCAAGGCTCTTCTGAAGACTGTGATGCGTACCTGGTTGCCAGCCGGTGAGGCTCTGCTTCAGATGATTGCCATCCATCTGCCGTCGCCGGTGGTTGCCCAGAAGTACCGTATGGAGATGCTGTACGAGGGTCCCCATGACGATGAGGCTGCCATTGCCGTGAAGACTTGCGACCCTGAGGGTCCTCTTATGATGTACATTTCCAAGATGGTGCCGACCTCAGACAAGGGTCGCTTCTACGCCTTTGGACGTGTGTTCGCCGGCAAGGTGGCCACCGGCCAGAAGTGCCGCATCATGGGCCCCAACTACACCCCCGGTAAGAAGGAGGATTTGTACGAGAAGGCTATCCAGCGCACGATCCTGATGATGGGTCGCTACGTCGAGGCCATTGAAGATGTGCCCTCTGGCAACATTTGCGGTCTGGTCGGTGTCGATCAGTTCCTGGTCAAGACCGGTACTATTACCACCTTCAAGGATGCCCACAACATGAAGGTATGTAAACTTACAAACTAAGACTAAGATCTACTTTAAATTTTTTTGTAACTAATTTGTTTTTTTCTTTTTTGTTATTAGGTCATGAAGTTCTCCGTGTCCCCCGTGGTGCGTGTGGCTGTGGAGCCCAAGAACCCCGCTGATTTGCCCAAATTGGTCGAAGGCCTGAAGCGTCTGGCTAAGTCTGATCCTATGGTGCAGTGCATCATTGAGGAGTCTGGCGAGCACATTATTGCCGGTGCCGGTGAGCTCCATTTGGAGATCTGTCTGAAGGATCTGGAGGAGGACCATGCTTGCATTCCTCTCAAGAAGTCCGATCCCGTGGTCTCTTACCGTGAGACTGTTTCGGAGGAGTCCGACCAGATGTGTCTGTCCAAGTCGCCCAACAAGCACAACCGTCTGCTGATGAAGGCTTTGCCCATGCCCGACGGTCTGCCCGAGGACATTGACAACGGCGAAGTGAGCTCCAAGGACGAGTTCAAGGCCCGTGCCCGTTATCTGTCTGAGAAGTACGACTACGATGTGACCGAGGCCCGTAAGATCTGGTGCTTCGGCCCAGACGGTACCGGACCCAACTTCATCCTCGACTGCACCAAGTCCGTGCAGTACCTGAACGAAATCAAGGACTCTGTGGTCGCCGGCTTCCAGTGGGCCTCCAAGGAGGGTATTCTGGCCGACGAGAACTTGCGTGGTGTCCGTTTCAACATCTACGATGTGACGCTTCACGCTGATGCCATCCATCGCGGTGGTGGTCAGATCATTCCAACCACCCGTCGTTGCCTGTACGCCGCCGCCATCACCGCCAAGCCGCGCCTGATGGAGCCCGTCTACCTGTGCGAAATCCAGTGCCCCGAGGTGGCTGTGGGAGGCATCTACGGAGTGCTGAACCGGCGTCGTGGTCACGTGTTCGAGGAGAACCAAGTTGTGGGCACACCCATGTTCGTGGTGAAGGCATATCTGCCCGTCAACGAGTCGTTCGGCTTCACCGCCGATCTGCGCTCCAACACCGGCGGACAGGCCTTCCCCCAGTGCGTCTTCGATCATTGGCAGGTGCTGCCCGGTGACCCGAGCGAGCCCTCCAGCAAGCCCTATGCCATCGTCCAGGACACGCGCAAGCGCAAGGGTCTCAAGGAAGGTCTGCCCGATCTGTCCCAGTACTTGGACAAGTTGTAAAGCACCACCACCACTCGCCACCCAATCCCCCACACAACAACAACATCCATGTGCAGCTGGCTAAGCGGGAGGAACATAGAACAAAGTGGAGCGACCGAAAAGTACATCTAAATTCAGCAAGGCACCTTAAACCACGCCTGCGGCCGCTGGCAGTGTTTTAAATCAAATAAAAACACAAAACATTAAAGAAATTTTGATGATTATTATTATTGTATAACAGAAAAACACAACATAATAAATCAAGTAAATGATTAAATGCCTACGTTAATATAAAAAAAAACCCTACCTGTGGTCGGAACGAAAATAGATTTCGTCGAAAGTGACTGAAGTTTTCATAATAGTTCAGTAACTTCGGGAACTACTTGAATGGGTCGGCCTAGTGCAAAATATAGTTTTTAACATTCAAAATTATTTTTCAAACATCAAAAATTGTTAAGAATTGGTTTTGATTTATTTTTTTCTGGCTTATTGTCGACTTCATCTACTTCTTGGCTGGCTGTCAGCGCAGATTCCAAATTCGCCTTGGAGTCTCTTGCAGTTCTCCGGAGAAGTACAGAGAGTAGTAGTCCCGAAAGATGATGCTGCTGTAAGGAGGATTAAATGGTCACAATGGACAAAACCATTTTATCTTCTCTTGGACGACCTACACCTTGCTCAGGTAAGTTTAAAAGAAAATCTCGTAGTTCAGAAAAATAAGACAGCAGAATAACGGAAATTGTGTTTCGTGTGTGCAAGCAAGTAACGGTTTTCCGTTTATATATACATATATAACTTAAAATTATTTTAAGTTTTTAACAAGAAAGGAAGCAAATACCCTGCATCTATTGCAAAAATTTAATATTCTTGAAAACATTAAAGTTATGATTTACTTGCGTATATTAAATTAAATTAATTTAAAAATATTTTTTTTGTGTTTTAGTACAAGGCTTCATATAGAGGTCATCATGACGATTGTGTCAGATAAAAATCCCATTAATAATGTAATTCTAAATTGCGAAATCCCTAGTTATAATCACTTGCATAGAATTCAAAAGGATTACATACGGAGTTCATCTTAAATGACACAAGTCCAATTTTAAAAAGTAATTTCACTCAGATTTTTTCAGACTTTTTACATTTTAATCGGAATAGAACGTCACATATATTAATTAAAGATATTGAAAATGAAATTCAAAGCCTTCAAATAGCTACTAATAGATTCTTTGCCGGCAGTCGGCAAGTCACAGCGAAACATTGAATAAAAACGTTATTCAGCACTGCAAAATTTACGCTCAATATCGATGTGAATGACAGTTTTCTTTTTTGATTGGATCGTGTCCACGCTAAGCAGTTAATCCGTTGGAAAAGGATGGAATTTTTGAGAAATGTGAAGCTCCGAATTCCGTAGAGTACATCATCCTTCCTATTTCAGATGATCTCAACAGCTATGGCTCGTCAAAACCTAAGCAAAGTCAACAGGTCAACCATATTTGTTTACGTTTTGATAAGCCACAGCTCTTCAGATCAGCTGAAGTCGAAAGGTGGATGTGCTTTATGGAAACCGGAGTTTCACTTCTTTTTTGAAAAATTCAAACGGTTTTTCAGGGATGGACTGCGTGGAAAGAGGGTTGCACCGCAGAAACATACTATCGCATAAATTAGTCTGTCAAAGTCCGTGGAACGACAAAACCTTTTTTGAAGAAATAGGCTATTATATAACCCGAAATTTTGGGGATTCCCAAAAGTGAATCGGAATAGCTTTTAAATTTTACTTGGATTGGAATCGCTTATACTTATCTGGAAATAACTCTGAGTGGAGTGCAATGAGCCATTTAGTTTCTAATTTTTTGACATTACTACATTACTAGGCTTTAATTTAATTAATTAATGACCGCAATTAGTTTAAGAAATTCAAAACAAAAGAAATCAGAAAACTAAAATCAAAGCGCTTGATTTCATGTATCATAAGCACCCAATTTGGCAAATCAAAATTAAATCAAGACCGGTTTTTGGCTGCGTGGGAAGATATCGATACAATATTTTGATACATTTCTGACATCGCTAGGCTTGCGAACGTTGCTCAGGTCATAAACAAAAGGTCGGTGCGTTCGCTTGGTCGTTTTTGTATTGTAACGCAAAAGCGGAAAACGTCGGAAAACGCAAAGTAGGTTCGCCTGTATGTATATCCGTGTTGAAGTTATAAGCCAATTGCGAAATGCGAATGTTCTTGGAACTTGTCTGTGTCTGTTTTTGTCATCGGCCCAAACCAAACCGCTGTTACCGTTGCCTTTTGACGCCGCGGCGTCTGTCATTACAATTGCCACCCCTCCGCTCTCTCTCGCTCTATGTCTCTCATTCGCCCCCGCTTGGAATCAGTCTATTTTTAGCAGTATTTCCAATTGGAAGACTCTTGACTTGACCTTTCGGTGTGCCAAAAGGCAGAGCTTTCTAACTGTAATTATTAGGCAGAGCCGAAAAAGTCGGATCGTGTGGGTGTGTGTGAACGTGTCTGCATTTGAAAAAATCGATGCCAGACTCCCTGCAGAAACTTCATTCAGAAAGGAAAGGAGAGTTGAAGAAGAAGCAGAAGGAAAGCAGCGACGCCGACGACAGTAAATTTTACAGCTAGACAAAGTGGCCCGTGTTTGTGTGGGTGGCTGTAACCGTAGCTGTAATCCATACACGGCGCCGATGATACCGGAAATGAATTTTTTCCGTATTAGAGACCAAAATACTGCAAACTTTTATTATCATCGCTGCCCGCATCCGTTTCAATTATATTTTTTAGGCCAACCCAGTTGCAGTTGCAAAAAGTTTTTTGTTTAGCCAAAGGCAAAAAAACGTGTTTATATATAGCCCCACAAAGAGAGTGCGTGTGTGTGAAGAGGTGGGCGAGAGTGTGTGTGAATGCGCCTGACTCGAACTCAAACTCAAACTCCTCTCAGCGGGACCCCAAAGTGTATAGAAAATATGAATGAAGATAAGGCAGAGTGCGAATAGTGTGCTCCCACTCTCTGCTCTCTCGTGTTGTTGTTGTTCCTCGGACCTCCGTGTTCCCCTTTCCCCCAATTTCCCTCTCCGAGATGAGATGCGAAAAATCAATGCACAAAAATCCCTTGTTGAACAGTTGTTAATTGCGACCGAGTGTTTACTTTTTTGGTGTTAATTCGAAATTGATGCAAACAATTTTAAAATCGGAACAAAGACAGATGGGGGTAAAAGAACGATAAATTTATAAAAGTGTGGCAAACATAGTGTAAAAGTTCTATGGTACAGACACAATTTAGGAAACCAAAACTACTGCTATAAAGCTGGAGCTTAAGCACCAATAGTAATTTTAGATAAGGTTCAAACAAGTAATTTAAAGCAAACATTGTGAAAAAAATATATCAGTGTTTTGTCTCATCAAAAGATACAATTGTCTATTTCTGATACCAATATAACAAAATAAGGTCAAGCTAAAATGTAATTTTGAAAATAAATCTATTAATAATATATTTTATGAAACAAATTACCATGCTGCAGGCTAAACAGTGTTGTGCTGTACCAAGATACTTATACATAGGCACTTACCTAGTGAAATTGTTTGCTACCTTATATCTTACCTAGGTAAATAAATTTTTGGCTACCGTGTATAAGTAAAAACTTAGGTAAAGATTTTAATTTATTTTATGTTAGGTATATATGCACTATTTGATTTTTTTTAATGAGCTTGATACACCTAAATTCAAATTTTATTATATATTACAGAAATTTGAAGATAAATTAATTCCTCCGCATTTGCAAGATAAAACAATGTTTTTTTTTTTTAATTTTTCTTCAACTAGAATTAATGGTCAGAGCAACAAAGTATCATACTTCAAATGCAACTTCCAAAAAACTATTGGCCTCAAAATGATTTAACTAAAATAATTTAATAATAAAACAGTTTTTTACCTCGTTTTTTCCTTTTACTTGAAAAATGTTTATCCAAGTACTTATTTATAATTATTACCTAGATACCAAAAAACTAGTACCTTTCCCAACACTGGGGCTGAGTGGTTATGAATGCTTTTCTGATTCGTGCATACATAAATATCCTGCTTTATATCGAAACGAAGGTCAGCCCTAATTGATTTCGTGCCGTACACCTGCCAAAGTTTATCATGCCCATTAAATTTGAATTTCCGCTAACACGATTTTCCCCCTAATCGGAAAATATCAATGTCCACTGGCAGAACTTTCCCTGTTTGCATTCAAAAACTGAAACCAGTAATATAGCTCCTAATTGGAAATCACGCCAGCAAAATCAATATTCATTATTTATTAATAGCGACTTACAGCGGCTTACGAACCGAAAATCTCTGACCCCACCTCACTCCCACATACTCTCACCCGCAGCCACGACCTTCCGATGACGAATTTAATGACCTGAAATCGACGAAGCGAGAGTAGCAAGGGAAGGCAGAGGAAAACCGCCAATCACTTTCACACATTGCATAGATGAAAATTGAAACAGCCGACAACAAAGCCAACAAAGCACGTCAGCAGAGACGCTGACTGAGGGCGACTTCGAAGTCAGTGGGCGCATTTATTTCGTTTTCATAATAAACGAAATATACGGAATCCAAAAAAAAAAAAAAGAAGCCGCAGAGCAGGTTTCCCGTCGATGGTTTCAATGATAATCGCTTAATAATGGCAGCAGCGGCACCTGAATCGTGTGGAGCACGCGATCCAAAGGAACCGGAGACTGAGTGGGAGTTCGATACGGATTCGGGGCGGTCCCAGGCGGCAATGACAGACTCCCAGCGAGCGTTGGATTCTCTGGAGGCGGACACCGAGGCGGACACAGATTTAGATGCTGCCGCTGCAGGAGCTGACCAACAAAGACAAAAGTAAGTCGCAATTTTTTTCTGAAAAAAAAAAAAATTCAAAATTAAATTTCCTGTATTCCTTGATGAAAAAATTAAAATCAAACATGCCCCGACAATTGGTCATTAAATATGCTATTTAAAGTCATGCACAGAAATCTATACCCAATCTAAAACTCAATATATAATTAAAGCTAACATTCGGCTGACATAAAGATTTTTACATTTTCATCTATGTAAAACTGTTTGGTACATTATTACTTATGTAAAAAACATAAGATTTTTATTTATCTTAAGAATAAGCTATTTTAGGTACTGAAATATTGAGGTCGGTTCCGGGTCATGTTTTATATACCTGCAAATAAATAAAAAAAACATATCCAATTTTTTTTTTTATATTTAAATTGCTTTATTAAAAAAGTAAAAACCAAAAACCGACTATTAGAAACTTAGGCAAACAACTTGAAACTAATTATCTCCCCTACAAAACTATCGAAGTTTAGGTGGAGCCATCTGTCGAACCGCATAGCCAACACAGATGGTTTTTTCATGTATTATTCCGATTGTTCCTATGGGAGCTATATGCTATAGTCGTCCGATTTTGATAAAATTTAAACCGTAATTCTGAAATATTTAACCATTACTAAATTAACTAATCAATCAATTAAAAAAAACATGGCTAGATTGACTCCTAGTGATGCTGATCAAGAATAAATATATACTTTATAGGGTCGGAGATGTCTTCTTCACTGCGTTGCAAACTTCTGACTGAAATTATAATACCCTCTGCAAGGGTATAAAAAATTGTTAACTAGTAAAAACAAAATTTGCAGGTCTATTCCAATTATGAAAATGCGGTGCCATTTGGTAGTAAAGCATGTTTATTTCATATCGTCAAAAGTCATTGTAGTCTTAATTTTTAAACAAATTTCCGAGTTAGGAAACACTTTTATTTTTCGCGAGACGGGTTAATTAATATTTGGACTAATATTAGATTCTTATTTATTTGTTGCTCAGCGATGACCAATTGCAGTTGCAGTCGCTGGAACCTATCTCCCTGGACGACATACCTGAGCCCATAAAAGTCCTCGACGAGATTATTTCAGAGTTCGAGGAGGCAGCGACGAAACCGGTGGGCTTGCACAGCAACAGTGGCGAAAATCAGTCCGAGGACGATGGCTACATGAGTCTGAGTCGCAAAAAGTAAGTCTAAAATGATGTTTATATATATGTAAATCAAATTGACAAAACAAATGGTCCCAGAATAGGAATTAAAATGCATTTCAATTTACAAACAAATTAAAATTATTTATGTTAATTGACAGTTTAATACTTTAGTTTTTTGAATTCTTTGCACTCGATTTGATCTACAGCATATTTGTTCTTTTCCAATTTATATAAATGTTTGACAGGTAAATCAATTTGTTCTTAAATTGGTATAACAAAAATACGTTACTTTTAACCAGATAAAAGGTTCGACTTTATTTTTGACTTCCATTCAACCATGCAAGTCTCTGTGAGCCACCGCATTTCAATTACGGCTTTGCCCGACATTACCAAATTTTGCTTTACCTAACCAAAATGTCAACTTTGACTACATAGCATGTCCAAAAAGGATTCCGAAGATGTGCCCCAAACACCCAGCACCGATACTGTGCCCGAGGGTAGCTTCAATGAGGTGGACGGCACAGCAGAGAATCTAGCCAAATTATCTGAGGTGGAACCCGGCCAGGAAACAACGACGCCCCTCATCCAGACAACGCTGGTGAGTTCGGGGAAGCCATACTGCAACCACTCCAGCTAATGGGTAACGGTAACCAATTTACTCACCGCACAACCACCCCGTATTTTCCCATTTCCTGCAGCCGAAGGCAAGGGGTTTCAGCTCGACTCCGGCCACCAACTCCAACTACTCGAGTCTGCCCTGCTGTGGGGCCAGGTCCTCGAATTCGAGTGGAGCTGCCGCTGGCAGTTCCTCAAGTGGTTTGGCAGCCATTCGGCATCCGGGCAGCTGCAACGGTGGCCGCAACGCACTGGGCATCGACATCAGTGCCGTGCACAACGCTGTGCTTCGCGGCAACCTGGCCAAGCTGCCGGAGCCCTTCGTCAACGAGCATCCGGTGACCATCTACCCGGGCCCCTCCTCCAAGGGGGCCGGTGGCGAGGGGGCTCGGGCCAAGCGGCTGCTTAGCTCGGTAGAACAGCACAAGGAAGTGTGCCACATGCTCAATCCGCTTTCCAACAGCTCGACCTCCTCTTCCGGCTCGCAGCACACGTCCAGCGAAGAGGCCTCGCCGGCTGCTTCGCACCTCAATGTGGCGTCGTCGAAGGCGGCTGGCAGGAATGAAGATTACTCGGAGGACTCGCTGGAGGAGTCTACAATCTCCACAGACCTTACTCCCGTAAAGCAGAATGGCGTCGCATGGGAGATCCACTTCAAGAGCGCTAAGAATAATTACAGCGGCTCTAAAAAGTCATCTGGTGCTGCGTCCAAAAAGGTACGTTTTATACAAATCGAAGTTTAACTTAATTATATTTTTATATTTTTAAACCCTATACCGTCTTCTTCTTCGTGCAGCACCAAAAACGGGCCAACAACTTGGACGACTTTAACAACAGCTTTATGTACAACGAGAAGAGTATGCTGGGAAAGGGAACCTTTATTATTCGCCGTTCCACGGCCAAGAAACCGCCACGCGCTGCTGATGTGTTTTGCATACCAAAGCCGCCACGTCCCTCTTTGGCCGAGAGAGCTGGATCCGGATCGAGAGTTGGAGCTGGAGCGATCAGCAATGAGTTCTACACGAGCGACAGCGAGCAGAGCGACGCCACTCCACTGCCGCTGCCGCTGCCACCGCCACCGCCGCAAGAATCCTCCGATATGAACTTTGTTTACAAGGAGTGCGAGGCTAATGCGGCGCACACACGCCGCGGATTGGAGATGGCCGCCGCCCATCGGGCGGCTCTATCGCTGGACATCGCCGAGGCTCCGGACCAACTGGGCCACTGCAAGCCGATGAAGAGCAAGACGGCAATGCTGACCGAAAAGCGCCTGAGTGCTGAGTCCATGCCGGACAACACCTCCAGTAGCGAGGAGTTCGATGAGGCGCGTCTGAACGGAAGCGGAAATTACGATCTGTACGCCTACAATGGGAATGGTGAGTGATCACAACATAATGGAGTATATATATTCTTGATAAGTTTTACCAGGCAATCCGTCTGTCTGTTCACAAACTAGTATCTCAGCATAAAACTTTCCCAAAAAAAAAAACGCCAAAAAAAAATAAATTACAACTTCGCTGTTTGCCATTTTTTGTAACATTCTTTGACATATAGTAATAATTTAATATTTTAGAATTAAAACAGGACGATTTTATCATATAGTTCCCATTGTTGATTTCAATTAATTTAAATAAACTTCGATGTACAGTAATGGTTTATTATTGCATAATAACGGTTTTAAATTGATTAAAATCGGACAAAGTTGTTGTAAAACCGACATATGAATGATCGAATAATTTAGCGGAAAATCGTTATAGCTTTACATATAGGATACAAATTGGAATGTTGTTGAAAGAACTGCAAGGGTATATAAACATCGGCTAGCCAACTTCGGCTAACTTTTCTTGTTTACAAAATAATAAATTGTTACATTATTTATATTTTTATATAAAACAGATCAACGTGTTTCCAACGCTACCACTCCACACACGGATCTGGCACCAACTCTCGAGGAGGACGAAGAGCTTTCCGACTTTAGCTACGGGTGTGCTCCGCTGACGCAAATCGAGCATAACATAAGCGCCTTGCTGCGTGGAGATATCCCCATTGTGGGTCAACAGCCTGGCTGCAATGGAGGTGGATCCGTTGGAGCCGCTGCGACCGCTGCCGAGCTGCATGCCAAGCGGGTGCTGGAATTTCGACCAGGCGTTCACAAGTCGGAGAGCGCCAAGGAGATGCTGCTGTCGCAGATGCCCAGCCTGGGACCATTGCCCCCATCGCCGCCATGCTCTAATCCGGATTTGTTCGACTACGATGCCCCGTTGCCGCCGTCGCCGGTGGAGCCACGTAAGCAGCTAGAGCTTCCGGCAGAGGTGGCGACCAGTGCCCCGCCGCCGAATCGTGGCACAACCGTGGTGGAGGTGCATGCCACTGCCTCCGGAGCGGCTGTACACAGCAGTAATAGCCACATGCGCCGAAGTCGCGACAATGTGGCCGCCGTGCGTCATTTTACCGACGAGCTGCCACCGCCACCGGCGCCTGCCCACCAAATGGCCGGGTTCGGGGAGGGTCTTCCCGGAGCGCCAATGGTGCCCCCACATCGAGGCACTGGAGGGCATTCGGCCAACACAATGAAATCCTGGAGCATTGACTCCCAGTACCGCAAGAGATCGCCCAAGCTGTTTGGCCACTATAGCAGCGGGGGGAGTGGGATAACCACACCCACCGGACTTGGACCTATGCCACCGCTGCCTGCGCCACCTCTCGACGGAATGGCGGGTGGAAGCGGGTCCTATCAACGGCGGTACATTAATTACGGCACGAAGCGCAGTCTAAAACAGTCGCCGCGCGAGGAGCATCGCCTGCAAACCTCTTGTAGTCTTCCTGAAACGCCAATCTTTGCCAGGGGGTGAGTCGTACCCTACGACGAAGTGCTCCTCTAAACAGTATACATTTTTTGACAGCTGTGACATACCACGTACGCCATATCGACGCCAGAACGAGCCGTTGCCTGTGGTAAGCGGTTCACGCACCGCGCCAAGATCGAGCACATCAAATAGCATAAATATGGGAACTTCTATTTTGGGGATTGGAGGTAAGTAACTTTTTGCAATAATTAGAAAATACACTATAATAAATATTACAACATAATTTGCTATTCCAAAAATTTTAAATTACTTCCGAGCGAAGGAAGTAAAATAGATTGGATTGGATTAGTTAGTAGTTAGAAAATATGAGTGCAGGTCGCAAAGAAAAATTATACTAAGTTGCAATGCGATTGACTTACGTAAAAAAGACTGCGCGTATATAAATCGAAACTGACTTATTCATAGATTTTTAAAATGTACGGATGTTATTAATTTATAATATTAACTAAAATTCCGCTATATTTTTCCAAACCCCATTTACAACTTCAATTTTATACACTCTATTCTTCAATTTTTGAATTTTGTTTGGTTTGTCAGTTGGAAGAAATTTCTGGGGCACCCCAAACACGATTAAAGTTTCTAGATCAAATAAAAAAAAAAACATTTTAATAAATAACATTGGCTTAATAAACCCTTCAACAGCTGGAAATTATGGTACTGCCCAAATATGCCGCCAGCGCTCGATTAATCACGCTTTGGCTTCCAATGAGATGCTACGCATGACCGGAGCCCCCGCTCGTGGATGGTATCCCAAGCAGCGGGGTATGCGCCCAGTTTCAACCGAAAACATTGATCGCCTGGCTTCCGTGCGGGTGTGGGACAACCCGGCGGGCATGTCAGGCACCGGACAATCCCGCAAGCCACTAACGCTGCCACCTAATCTTACGCCTTCCTTTTTGAACAAATCACCCCGCGAGGCTTTGCGACGAGTGACCAGTTTGCTGATAACCAAGAAAAGTAAGTTTAAGTAAAGTTGGAGGGTCCATTAATAATTACGTTTTGTCATCGCCATCAGAGAACAGTAAGGATCGAAAACATAAGGCATATTGCGATCAGCTCATGGATGATAACAACAGCAAGCACGCCTATGAATTTGACACAGGTAAAATTTAAAAAGAAATATATGTAGGATGATCAGATGCTTCAGCCAGGCAAAGTTTTCAAACAAATTATACACCCAAAAGACTATCCCCATGGAGTCTTACAAAAAAAAAATATAATAAACTCGACACAGTTAAAATATGCAAACACCAATCCATTCCAATCCAAAAATCGACTAAAGGGATTTTAAAGGCGAAAAAGGCGCTTATTTTTATGGTTTTCAAAAATAGATAATGAAAAATAAGCCGGTGCCCGTGAATCTTCGGAGGAACCTTGACAAAAATTTTGTTAGCGGTGAACATCATAACTCGTTGCTGAATTAAAAAAAAAAAAAATTATATGCATTTTAAAGCTGATGAAATTTGCGAGATAATCACGAAGAGATTTTTTTTTCTATTTTCTTAAGCACTTTGGAGTGGACTACGCGATTTTAACTAAAAAAAATTGAGGTTAAATTGTCATTAAAAAAATAGAAAAAAAAAACTTTGTGGTTAATTGCTAATTTATTTAAAGAAGTAATATTCAAATTTTTAAAAGGATCGGCTTAGTAGATTTTAAGTTCTGATGTTCACGAACTAAAAAAAACGCGTTTTCGGGAAAATCGATTTAAGTTTTTCATACGTTAACAAACCTTTGGCACGGCCGGTCGATTGAAACGCTGTAACTCCGTTAGTTTTAAATATTTAAAAAATGTATCATTGCAGTTTGAAAAGCAAGAAAAATTTCTATTTAAAAAAATCGGTCGTATTGCACCTCAATCTGAAACATCATTCTCAAACATTTTACGGAACCGTACTGATCAAAGCCACAAACAATTGCCCAAGTTGCAACAACACATCCATAGACAATCATTAAATTCCATCCATGGCATTTCAACAAAATCCAAAAAACCCAAAAGTTCTAGAAAAATAAGAAAAAAATTGTGAAAAAAACGAGAAAAGAAGTAAAGTTTTGTCGAGCCGAAGATTTTTATACCCTTGGAGCTATTACAAAAAAAAAATCTTCAAAACGAATAAAAACCAATCAGAAACTATACCGGTTTTCCGCTAAATTTTGCGATCGTTTCTATATGTCCATATAATATAGATGTCAAATTTAATCAAATTAAGACCATAATTCTGAAATATTATTCGATTACTATGACTCCAAGTGTTGTCGTATAAATTAAAAATCTGCGAAATATATTTATATATATTGGATTGCCGAAGCTAGCTTTTACTCTATTTAATTTATTATTTACTTTAAATTCAGTATAGGTAATTAGACCAAAAAATTACGGAATTAATTTCTTTGCTTCAGGTTCCACCAAACGAAAGGATACCAATCGCAAGGAAAATGGAGCCTCGGGGGTGTCCACCAATACCAAACCCAAGAAGAAAGGTCTCTTTAAATCGCTTTGGAAGCGCACGAAAACAGCCTCGCTGGATCATTAGAAAAATACTCGCTGGCAAGGACTAAGCACTGCCCCAAGTTTTATGTCACCATTAGCATGATAGCATCGAAGATGATAATAACCCTGCACTTACATTCACGTTAATCGGGACGCAAGTTAAAAAGTTATCTTGCACCCACCAATCCTCTCACCTGCTCATCCGATCAGCTAAACTTTCTCACGCTCGTGTTCGTCCACCTTGAAAACAATTGAAGCAATTTTGTATACACATCGTAACGTACATCGGTCATATAGTAATGAGAAAACTGAATAATTCAAATGCACAAAAGCCGTGAATCGTAAAGACTGAAAAATGAAAAAGCGTAAAACAAAGGAAAATTAAGCAAAACGAAAATATTATGGAATACAAAGAAATTAAGTGAACTTATGCAAACAATATTTCACTCTCAAAAACTAAAGAAAATCGAAACAATGTATGGATCGCACGGCCATATTACTTGTGTATGTATGTGTGGTTTTCCCCGACCTCGAACTTGCCAAAAAAAAATAAAAATTAATGCAATTATTCTATGGCCGTACAACCGTATAACCAAAACCTAACCGAATGCACGCAACATTGAGCGCAGCAAGAACTTTACAACTTACACAAGCACTGAATTTATATATACGTATATAGATATGAGCGCTATATATAGTTTGGACTATAACTAAACCGTTTAGGGTTCTAGGCAACATTACTTACTTTACGATGATGTTTTATTCTTAGAAATTCCGAGAAATAAGTTTGGGTTCAATGACTATAAATTTTTCATTTTGTTGAGTTGTTTAAGGGACTCGGAGCAGCTGGAATACAGGTATAGTGCAATTAGAGGAGACGTATTGCTAAATTTCATAATGTATCTCAAGTATTCCAATAGTGAATCCCACTATTGCCCAACGAGGCGCCCCAAAAAATCGACTAAATCGCAATAATACACTTAATGACTCACAGTACGTATTAATTTTCCAAAGCTGAAAATGAAGTAAAGCCCTCCACATTTCGAAGAATGTTTGATAATAAAAACGAATTCAACATTATTTAATTCCAATTAAATCTTAAAACGCAAGTTAAACGCTCAAGACGATTTTACCAGAGAAAGCATTTGAAGTTGGGAATTTCGAAAAGTGAAACTTGAATATGAAACAACATTACTGTAAACGTTTACTAGTCATTAAATATTAAAAATAAAAAGCAAGAAAAATATACATATATATATAATATATTATATATATACATATTTTTTATTAACACCCTGTGAAGCCAAGAATAACATTTTGGCAGCATTTTATGAGCAGGAGCTGGCCCCCAAGAGCAAGTTAAAAGTATTATTAACGAATTATATTATATGCTATAGCAAGTTGGTATTTATTATAATTAATGATATATGTACAATTATTTAAATTAACATTATTGAATATATTTTTTAGAAACGTAGCATGAAACGAAATAAAATTACAAAAACAGAAATACTCCATGTCCCTTGTGTACTTTAAATACAAATATATCTATTGAAATTTGATAATTTGGTAAAGGCGAAACTTAATGGTTATTGAAAAAAAAATTATTATATAACACTAAAGTCGAAATTTTAGACATATTGGGTATCATAAAAGGCGAAAAAAAATTAATTTAAATAATTCGAGAACTGAATATAAATTTTATTTTCCAAATTAAAGGCCAATAATCCTATTATAATAATCACTCTAGTAAAATATATTTTTTCAAAGTATTTTTGAAAAGTGCTTCCCCTTAAAATGTTTGTGTATTTGCAAGTTCTGGGATTTCATTCAGAAATTTTACAATTCAAATGGTAAATCACAATAAAAATACGAACAAAATAATCTACAAAAGTAACACCAAATCAAATTACCAACAGTATACAGAAATAAAATGATATATAATTTTTTAGCAAGAACAAAAATTTTAAATATTAAAATTTAACGATTGTATAAAAGGAAATAAAAAGAATTACATTGAATTTTTGAAAGTTTTGACCAAAAAATTTGTTTTAATGGAAATATTGATAAAATGATTGAAAATAACTAATCAAATTCAGCAGGCAGATTGCGGTTTTATATATCTCAATTCAATTAAGATTGATTTTTTTAATTCGCAAAAATGTGTTGTTGGCAGTATCAGAGATTTAAAAGGTTTACTGTCGAGGCCTTAGGTTAGCGACATTGGGAAAAGTAATTTACTTGAACGTGTACATCCCGGTCCTGCCTGATATTTTAGAAAACTCTCTGGCCGTACCATTTTGTTTTTTGGATTGTAGGGTTTTCAATGTGAATACAAAATTTAAGTATATATGTAAAAAAGAATTTCGCATCAAAGTCAAACATTTTTTTCGATTTTTATTATACATTTTCCAGCAATTTGTTCTGCTTCGTGCGTGTGTGCATAAAGCCAGATAAATATACAATACATAAAAGGAATATATCTACAAATATAAAGGACACACGCATTAAATCAAAATGGGGCAACTAACTAAACTAAATTAAAAGTATCAGTAACATCGTTCGACCGCCACACATCCTTCATTCCAATATGCTAAGATCATAAAAAACAAAATCCAAATTGCTAGACCATTCTTTTGCTTCGCTTTGCTTTTTATAAGAATATTGTAAACATACAGATGGCTAAAATCCTGTCTATGAATGAGGTGTTTTAAGACAAAATAAGCTGCCTGGTTTACAATTTTCTTTCTGTGTTCGGGGGTTGAGTTCTGGGGTTTTAATTAGTTAAATAATCTCTGCCACAGCCTAGGCCATGTAGCTATATTCATCGCCCGAATTCGCTGTTCGCTCAATATATTGTTTGTCAATTAATGATTCCACGCATTTCTTGATCATTGCAATGTTCGGCGTAAAGCTAACTTTCGATAACGAAAGAACCTGCGAAAAACGAAGATTTTATTTTTATTTTTTTAAGTTTAAAATTTTTTAGGTTTACCTCTTGTATCAGCGCATTGTGCTTTAGGACTTTACGAGCCTTCATAATTCGGACAATTGCGGCTTGCAGGAACAGTTTTCGGTCCTCATCCACCGAGTTGATAGTGTGTTCCACCTATGAGAAAAAAATGTATTTAAAATGGCCTTGTAAGCTTAAATGTGTCAATCATACCTCTTGCGGCGTTTCCTTTTGTAATGCCGAACTAATCTTAAACTTTGTACGCTTATTTGTGTAATCCAAATTCAATTCTATTCGAGTCTCCCCGGCGAGATTCTCTGAGCTGGCATTTAACAGCTTTGACTCGATCATAGGCTGCATGTGCTTTTGAAACGTTTCATCGTTCAACTGCAGTGTGTTTTGAATCTCCCGACAACTCAGACTATCGCACGTCTCGAACAGCAGAATTATCGCCATTTGGTATGTTTGCATAGTCACGATGTAGGACTTTTTCAAATGACTCAACTTTAGCTCCCCATGGCACATATGATGCAGCCAAGTCAACTTGCGACCACTAAACAATTTATGATAATATTCTTCGAACTGAAAAAAGGGAAAACAAAATGTAAAGTAACATTATTAACTGAACGGATCAAATGATACTAATTCTTATCCAATCAAATTTTTAACTCAATTTGGAGGGAACTGATTTTAAAAATACTCTGGATTTAATAATATTGGAAATGCCTAACTTATAAAAGTAGAACTGTGAATGTCTATTGCAAAATAGAACTGTAAATGAAAGTGGGGCAAGGATGGTTAGAAAAGTTATGTTTAGCAGCAATGTTGACAAGAAAGGAAGCAGACTTCGGCAAGCCGAAGTTCATTTACCCTTGCAGTTAATGCAAAAATTAAATATTCTTAATGACATTAAAATTATGATTTACTTGTGTATATGTTGAAAAACGATGCTAAAAGTTATAAGGATTTGCAGCTCAATTATTTGATAGTTCCTATGTCAGCTATATGATATCTTTCTCCTATTTTAATAAAATTAAAAGCATAATTCTGAACTACCAAAATAAGTCAAAAAGAATACAAAAAAGAATTACAACCTAGATAAATTAAATTAAAAAAAAAAAAGCTTTATGATATAGTCGTCCGATTTTAATGAAATTTAAACCGTAGTTCTGAAATATTTAACCATTACTATATGTCGAAGAACTAAAAAAAATTAAAAAACAGCAAGCTTATAATTTTTTTCATTCCTACTTATGTACTACATGCAATAGAAAGACAACTTCTGGGAATATTTCATGTAGATAGCTTTAAAACTAAGAGACTAGTTTGCGTAGAAACGGACGGACAGACGGACATAGCTAGATCGACTCTCCTAGTGATGCTGATCAAGAATGATCAGCAATGTTACCTCTATTGCCTTGCAAGCTTCTGATTGAAATTGTAATACCCTCTGTAAGGGTTGCAAAGTCAGTTTTAAAATTATCTGGCTGAAACTTTCACAAAATTCTTCTTTCTACATAGGTCGGAAGGGACCGTATAGCACGACTAAAGCTGTCATGGGAACAATCGATATGATTATATTGTTATTAATTAATCTTAGACTAAAGAAAATGATAAAATATGAGTACGAATTTTTGTTGTAGCGTTTTGTTGTTCCTGTTTTTAATTTGGAAAAATAAATAAATTAATTCTCACATATATTTTGTTAAATTTCACGAAAAAACGAAACATTCTCTTTAGACAAACAATCCTTCAAATTTGACAAAAATTAATTTGTAACTTCTTCAAGACGTTGCGCATTATGCTATCCTTGCCCCATTCTCTTCTATCTATATATTTTTTTAGCTTTTGCTTTAAAAATTCAAATCAAGACATTCCTAAAGTTTGCTTTTCATAGTTTCTAAAACATTTAACTTGGGTTGCCATTTAAAACATACCATTTTAATAGATTTCTCAAATTCCTGTGGCACTGCGAATGGTATGACTTGCGTGGATCCCAAAGGCCAAGCGCCCGCCTGCAGTACCTTGATGGAGAGATTAATGCCTGTGTAGGAATATTCGTGTTAAAAAACTGCAAATGACTTATTTATTCAAAAACTCACCCAAGTCCACGTTGTTATCCTTGAGATGAGTATTGAACTTGTTATTCAGATCTGTAGATACCGAAATATCCGTAAACATGCGATGAAGTTTGTTGGTAAATTCATATCCGCAGGCTTGCTGTAATAATAAATTCAACATTTAATGCTATAAGAAAATAAAGGCTAACAAGCAATAACAAAAACGATTCTTAGTTATTAAAAATGTATAAAACAATGCGGTTTTAGGTAACTTCAAGTTAAGAGCGACAGACTACCACGCCCCCGTATTTTCAAGTTTACCCAGACAAAACTAAAATTTGCAAGTAAAAAGAAAGACAAGAAGAAACGATATAGCCCTTTGTCCCGACTTTCAAAATTTCTTGGTTTGTGGACGTG